TTATTAGTAGAAGTAGCATTAGAAATAAAATCCCATGACATCTCCCATTATAACCAACTCCTAGCAGAAATACTCATCAATATTGTTATATTGAAAAAAAAAATCATGGAGCCACATAGGAAACAAATAACGTTAATCAGGAAAATTATTTCCAAAAAGGCAAGAAATATGAAAAGGAGAGATAAAAGGTCACCAAAAAGAATATTAAAATACGTTGAAATTTTCCTAGTAGAACATGCCCCATAAACTATCACCTCATTTTCTGCTTTTCCAAAATATCACGTTATTCTAGCACTTTCAAGGCTCATCTTCTAGTTCTAAGTATGAATCTCCTATGAGAATTGTTCACAACTAGAACTGCCTCATAATCAATGACAGGTTCAGGTAGTTAAAATTCTAAAATGGACCATAAGGAGGGTGTAGCTTTTCTGGGCATGCTTGATCAAGCAACTTGTACCTGAGAGGAATTACTGAGAGGTGAACAATGGGCAAACATAACAGTAGGGTAGGAAGAAAAAACAAAATCCAGTATGTGTGTGTGTTTATTTTTATATGACTATATATGTAAATGCAACAAGGAAGCAGATGGATTTGGGGCCTCTGCTTAAATCTTATCTCAGTACCAGAAGGTTTGCTCTAATAATGTGACATTGTATGATACCCACCTCATTGACACGATTGCTGAAGACAAAATGGGTGCACAAGCAAATGTGGGGAAGAAAGCTGATGGTGCCTGACTATCAAAAGCTATGGCATCTAGAGTCTTAAAAGCTTGTGGTTAAACAAGCAGCCATCTAGCAGGGAAGCAACAAAGCCCACATGGAAGAAGCACACTAGTCTGTGTGATCATGAAATATTGAAAGGAAGAGGTATCAGAAGTTCAAAAAGACACAACCAAGCTGATATGAAGGGGAGTGGAATGGAGTGAAGACCCAAAGTCCACCAGCAAGACAACTGGACAGTGCCTCTTAGAAGGGCCTTATGGAATGGAGGATAAATCCAGGGTGCAGTGTGACACTGGTGTACCATATAACTATCCTCTAGTTCTTTAAGATTTTCTCCCCTTACTATTACGGTCCTTATAGTGATATACCTTATTGGTAACGTTAGATTTGCGTATGTTCATTTATACACTTAAGATCACTCAGTACATGATAGTCAAGATAAATGACCCCTCAAAGACAGTGACAGGAGTAAGGGTTTCCTGAGAGTAGGGAAGTGAGAGCGGGGAGAGGCAGAGAGGGAGAGGGGAGTTGATGATTGTATAGCCCCACCCAGTGGAATTGAACCACAGAACTGTACAGAAGGGAAGGGATATATTGGAATGAATATGATATGTCAGTAAAATTACTACTGAAATTTCTTTAAAAGAAAGGTGATACAAGAAAAAAAGAAGAAATGCCTCATAAGGATTAAATACAGTTTGAAGAAGGCAAACTGGAAAACATGATACCAGTGGAAAAGTCAATACAGTCACAAATATTGAGTAATAATTTTATTTATATTGGTCTTATTAGTGTTTATTACTGAGAAGTGGGAAAATCAGATACTGGCTAAAGATACTGGATCAAGCTGCAAATCAGGTCCGTTCTTTCCTTGTTTAAGGCACTTTGAAATATACTGAAATGAATGCAGTCAGACTTCTGTGACAGTAGATTTAAAGTCTCATGTGAGGCATGCCATCATTGCAACTCAAATGAATGAGCAGTGACTGATGTATTATGTTATTCAAGCTCAAAGTTCTTTGACTTTCCAGAAGCCTCAAGAATCCAAACCTGCAGCTAATGAACAAAGCAAGTCCTTATTCGCTTAGAGTTTCTGATAACAGGGACTTACCACAGTGGGTCCATTTTTAGAGATGCTATAGTGTGTCAATATTTGCAGTAGGCATTTGTAAGAGAATAATTAACACAGACAATCTCCCATAAGAATTAAAATACAATTAAAATAGTAAAGTGGATGAATGAAAGGATAAACAAATAAGATGTATTTATTTTTAGATTAGTGAATATTAGTGACAACAAGAATCTGGTAGGTAAGGTTAGATGATGCATAAATTTGCAAATTGTTGACAACCTAAGTATTTAGAATATGATTTGAGAAAAAAATGTAAATATATTAAATTGTTCGGTAGCAGCCAAGATTGTGTTTTCATTTATCCCAAGTACCTGATAAGAAATTAATTTCTGTAAGACCTTAAAATCATGAGATATCAGGAAGACATAGTGGCATCAAGGCACAGCCAAAGATGGAAAAGACCATTAATTGGAGTGAGAGATTGGGGTATTGCAGAAACATCATCCTGGCGAGAGCATTTGCACATGGATATGTTTTGAGAGCTTGATTGCAGCGTTCTCTGTGCCCGGAAGAGAAATCACACGATAGGAACAGATGGAGATTTTTATGGAGGTAGGGAATTGAATAGTTGTTCAATTAATTCTTTTCCATTAGCACTAAGTTTCTGTTGTTAGATGCCATCGAGTCAGGCCTGACCCATAGAGACCTTAGCAGAACAGAAGGAAACACTGCACGGTCCTGCACCACCCTCACAGTTCCTCTTATGCTCGAGCCCGTTGTTGTAACAACTGTGTCACTTCATCTCCTTGACGGCCTTACTCATTTTTGCTGTCGACTTTACCAAACGTGATGTCCTGCTCCAGCGACTGACCTCTCCTGACAATGTGTCCAATACCATAGGTCAAATGCATCAGGTTTTCTATAGCACTGTAGGAAAACGTTATGGAAAGAGGATTATGGCAAAAAAGAGGGGTGGCAAATGGATGTTTCTGAAGCACAAGATGGGGTGCTAGACTTGGGCTTTGTGTGAATAATAGTGAAAGGGAAGAAATCAGAGAGCAGTTCCAACAGCAATAAGTAAAGTTTAGGGTGGATGTAGTGTAGATTATAGCAGGGATGGGGATAAGGGTATTCACAACTTCACTACGCAGCTACATAATTGATCTATACCTTAATATCCAACAAAGAACATTTCTCAGTCTCTTAGAGTCAGCAATTTGCATGAAGTTTACATAAGACATTGTTCTAATCCCAATGTACACACCTCTGGTGTTACTCTCCTGTTGCTTATTTTTAATGCTCCCTGACTAAGAATTTACCCAGATTCATCTTTCCTCTTCACCACATTACAATAATTCTTCAAGATACATTTTAAAACTCACCGCCATAGAGTTTATTCTAACCAGTACGGACATTACAGAACAGAGTTGAAATACACCTGTGTATTTCCAAGGCTGAAAAATCACTGTCATTGTAGTTAGGTGTCAGTGAGGTGGTTCTGACTCATAGCGACCCCACGAACAGTACAACAACATACCGGCCAGTCCTGTGCCACCCTCACACTTATTCTCATTGTGAGCCCATCAAGGCTGCCACTGTGCAGATCCACTTTATCAAGGACCTCCCTCTTGCTCACTGCCCCTCCTCTTGACCAAGCGTGATATCCTTCTCCATGGACTGGTCTCCCTTGATAACATGCCCTGAGTATGTGAGACCAAGTCTACCCATCTTTGCCTCTAAGGAGCATTCTGGCTGTACTTCTAAGATGGATTTGTTCATTCTTTTGGCAGTCATGGTACTTTCAATATTCTTTGCAAACACCATGGTTCAAATACATCCTTTGGTCTTCACTATTCAATGTCAAATTTTCACATCCATATGAGGCAAAAATACCATGACTTGGCTCAGGTACATCTTAGTCAACTTTGTAAAGTACTGAATACCAAATGTCCCAAGATTTTGACATATTGTACATCCTGAACACATCCCACTGAACTAGTCTGTGTTTGTTACAGAGAAAATATTTTCTTTTCTTTTTTTAAATCATTTGATTGGGGCTCATACAGCTCTTATCCCAATACATACATAATACATCGTGTCCTGCACATTTGCACATTTGTTGCCATCATCATTTTCAAAACATTTTCTTTCTACTAGAACCCTTGGTATCAGCTACTCTTTTTTTTTCCCTTCCCTTCCCCACCCTCCCTTCCTCACGAACCCCTGAACATTTATAATTTTTTTCATGTCTTACACTGACTGATGTCTCCCTTCACCCACTTTTCTGTTGTCCATCCCCCTGGGAGAAGGTTATATGAAATCATTGTGATCCGTTCCCATCTTCTGCCCCCACCTGCCCCTTATCCTCCTGGTATCACTACTGACATCATTGGTCCCGAGGGGTTTATCTGTCCTGGATTCCCAGTGTTTCCAGTTCTTATCTGTCCCCATGCTCTGGTCCAGCCAGATTTGTAAGGTAGAATTAGGAACATGATAGTGTGGGGAGGGGCCGGGGGTAAAGGAAGCATTAAAGAACTAGATGAAAGTTGTATGTTTCATAGGTTCTATACTTCACCCTGTCTGGCCGTCTCTTCCTTGTGACCCTTCTTCAAGGTGAGTTTGGTGTTTTGTTTGGTGGGCTAAATGGTTATCAACTGAAATGGCTATTCCAGATGTAGCAAAAGAGCAGCTAAATAACTGCATACTACTAACCTCGGTGGCAACATCCAAATGCAATGTCATAAAACACACACTCAATTCATGAAATTATACTGGCATTGTTACCAATCAATGAAAAATGTTGCTCAATGACCAACATTGGATGTAGAATGATGCTCGTTAGAAAAGAAGTGAGTATGCATCCACTTGAAAAGAAGAAGTAGGATAATACAAATTTTAACCCAGTGGCCCTCAGGCAGAAACTGAAGGGTGGCTCTCATTCTAAGAAAAGAGTGGAAGATTTAAGTAATTATGCTACCAAAAGTATGACAAGGATTATTTTTAAACATTCACCCACCACAGTCTCATTTTCAAGAGTTTGCTGGAATGTTCTAAGTGTGAAGAGAAGAGTAAGTGAAAATACACAGATGTGGCATGTCAGCAAAGTGTTAGGGAAAACAATAATATGTGATATACAAAACAAATCACACTGTTCTCTGCTTACTCCCTGAGGCGTTACGCTTCCCAACTCCAGGAGGGCTTGGATGGACATGGACAATGATACCACACCACATGGCTTCATCCTTCTGGGCTTCTCAGATAATCCCAGGCTGGAAATTATTCTCTTTATGGTTGTGTCCATCTTTTACATGATCACGCTAGTGGGCAACATCACCATCATATTTCTGTCCCACACAGACTCGCATCTCCACACGCCCATGTACTTCTTCCTCACCCAGCTCTCCTTCCTAGACCTCTGCTTCACCACAAGCTGCATCCCCCAGATGTTAGTCCATCTCTGGGGCCCAGACAAGACCATCAGCTACCTTGGATGTGCAGCTCAACTCTACATCTTCCTGGGATTGGGGGCTGCTGAGTGCATCCTGCTGCTCGTCATGGCTTTTGACCGCTATGTGGCAGTGTGTCGGCCCCTGCACTACGCAGTCATCATGCATCCGAAGCTGTGCCAGAAGTTGGTGCTCTTTGTGTGGGTGAGTGGAATTTTTGGCACCTTGGTGCAGTCCCCCACCACAATGAAGCTTCCTTTCTGCCATCACCACCAAGTGGATGACTTTGTGTGTGAAGTTCCTGCATTGATACGTCTCGCCTGTGGAGACACACTTATTAATGAACTCCAGATCTCGGTGATTGCAGGCATCTTCCTGATGGTGCCGTTACTCCTTATACTTGGCTCCTATGGGCGCATTACCCAGGCAGTGCTGGCCATTCAGTCCCAAGAAGGGAGGAGTAAGGCTTTCCGCACCTGCTCCTCCCACCTGGTGGTTGTCTTCCTCTTCTACTGCAGTGGTACTGCAGTTTACATCCAACCAAGGAGCCGGTTTTCTCAGAAAGGAGGGAAATTCCTGACTCTTTTCTATACTGTGGTGACCCCCACACTCAATCCACTCATCTACACCTTGAGGAACAAGGACGTGAAGGAAGCAATCAAACGACTCTTTGGGAAAGACAGAATGGCCAGTGGGGAGTATGGGGCTCATACTTCAGGGTAAGGGCAGCTGTGTCCAGTTTCAAACTGTGACGTGTGTGTATGAGTAAATCCAACTAGCAACATATATCAAGGGCAAAAGGTGGATTTTTACAGACAGAGGACCAATCAAAAGAACAGTATGAGCACCACTTAGAGTTCAGCTTAAATTTCAATATAAGTATAGTATTATTCCTCTCAGCGTACACTCAGGAAGTAAAAAGGATTCCAATTATGTTTTTAAAAAGGCAATTTTTTTATTTAAATCATTTTATTGGGGGCTCATACAACTCATCGCAATTCATATATATATCTATTGTGTCAAGCACATTTGTACATTTGTTACCCTCGTCATTCTCAAAACATTTGGTTTCCACTTGAGTTCTTGGTATCAGCTCCCACCTCTATGCACATCTTAAGAACAAAGCAACAACTTGTGGACTGGAGTTTGGAGCAGGGATATCTATACTTGCATAACTTCCTTTTCTCAGTAGTGTGTTAAATCTATGTCATTAGATAAATCAATAAAATCGCCTAATGACCTCGGAGTGGGGGTGGGGGTAGATAATGATAATGTTCTTTGTCAAAAATAATGATGAGGCCTCTAAAGTAAACCAGAGTCATGCATATTTCATGAACAAGTGAAAGATTCTGAGCTCCCACTGAATGCAATAGTATTTAGCTCTCATGACAATGCCCTGCTTCATACTCACCCTTGTGAGGAGATCACAGGAGATATGGGTACTATAGCAAAGTGTGGTGAAGAAAGCAGATGGTGCCCATCTATCAAAAAGGAATAATATCTGGAATCTTAAAGTCTTGTATTCAAACAAGCAGCCATCTAATGAGGCATCAACTAAGTCCACATGGAAGAAACACACCAGACTGTGTGATCCAAAGATGATAAATAACAAAATCCAGATCCAAAGATGATAAATAACAAAATCCAAATACAAAGAAGGGAATAGTATCAGAACTTAAATTGTGAACTCCCCATTTGAAGAAAGCTATGGGTGACAGTGGGAGCCCAAACCCCATCCTTACATAGATTAAGTCTCTGATGAATCCCCTCTGACAACAGTCAAGGGATGTGAATAAACTTACTTATCGGCTGGCTACTATTGTATACGTGATAATGGAAGATATAATCAGGTTACACTGTAATAACTTATCATTTGATTTCCCTCTTAACCCATTTTAAATTTATTTTAATTTGTAATATTTCCTGCTATCTATATATTTTATTAAAAATCATTTGGGGGGGGCTCTTACAGCTCTTATAACATTCCATACATCAATTGTGTCAAACATGTTTTTTCATATGTTGTCATCATCATTTTCTAAACATTTACTTTCTATTTGAGCCCTTGGTACCAGTTCCTCTTTTTTTACCCCTTCCTCATCACCCCATGATCAATTATAAAGTATTATATATGGTGTTTTCATATCTTACACCAACCACTGTCTCGCTTCACCCACGTTTCTGTTGTTCATCCCCCTGGCAGGGTAGAGATTATGCAGTTGATCATTGTGATCCGGAATGTTGTGTGTTTCATCAGTGCTATACTGCACCCTGGCTGGCTTGTCCCTTCCTTGTGACCCTTCTGTAAAGGAATGTCCAATTGTCTACAGATGAGCTTTGGGTCTCCACTCCTACCCCCCCTTGTTCACATTGATATGATTGGTTGTTTTGGATCTTCTGATGCCTGATACCTGGTCCCATCAACACCTCGTGATTACACAGGCTAGTGTGCTTCTCCTATGTGGGCTTTGTTGCTTCCCTGCTAGCTGGTGGCTTGTTTAACCTCAAGCCTTTAAGACCCCACATGCTATATCTTGTAATAACCAGGCACCATCAGCTTTCTTCACCACATTTGCTTATGCACCCATTTTTACTTCAACGATAGGGTTGGAAAGGTGAGCATTACAGAATCCCAAGTTATTAGGACAAAGTGCTCTTGCATTAAGGGAGGACTTGAAGTAGAGGCCCAATGTTCATCTGCTACCTTGATACTTAACGTATAAATATATGTACTTAGACCTATATTGCTACCATTCTATATTAATATATTTACATATATGCATGCTTATACTTCTACCTCTAGAAATGTCTTCTGTCTCCTAGTTCTTTCCTCTATTTCCTTTGACTTTCCTTCTGTCCCACTATTATGTTTGACCTTCATTAGGCTCTCAGCAATTCCTCTCAGCTACATTGCACTTATCAAACCCCACCAGGCCTTCTACACCCTCCTCACCATCGATCTTAGATATCTTATTGTTCCTTTGTCCCTGGGTTTGTTAGCTCCCCCCTCCCTTTTCCCCACCTCCCTGTCACCATCAGTCCCCTTGTTTTCTCCTCAGGATTGTTTATCTTCCCTATCATATAGATATACATGAAAAGGAAGAGGAAGGGGGGAAAAAAGAAAGAAAGGGCCTATAAATAGTTTCAGGCTTTTCTCCTGACTCTATGAGTATAATGAGATGGGTTGTATAGTCTTCATTAATTAATTAATTAATTAATTAATTAATGTCATTTGGTCATACTTAGAGACTTTGGATAGAAGAGCCACATTATATATTTCACTGTGGGGGAGGAGATACTGTGCTAGCCAGGAAGACAGGTCAGGGCCTGGTGACCGAAGTCTCTATTGCCTAGTGGATAAATTGGGAATAGAAACACCTGGGACGTTTTTGAGAAGATATTTGATGAGTTTGGGCAGAAGCCATAAATGTGAGTGGGCAGTGCCTATTGTTAGGGAATTAAGGTGGTCAGTCATTTGGATATGAAACAAAGGCATCCTATTGCAGGTCCCTGGCTGGGAGAAAAGACAAAAAGGACAGGAAAGAAGGGTGTTTAATTGGAATATATGCAGTGGCAAGTGTGAGTGCACAGACACGTGACCAACGATGAAGCCTCTTTGGGATCCCTGGATGGTGAAAATACTCAACGTGTTCAGCTGCAAACTAGAAGATTGGTGTTTTCAATCTACCCAGAATGGGCTCAGAGAAAGACTTAGTAATCTGCTTCCCAGAAAGCAGACTTATTGAAAATCCCATGAAGCGCAGTTCAACTCAGACACATGCAGTTTTGCTATTACTCAGCGTACAGCAACAGCAACTGGTTTGGTTTGCATTTTGATTGTCCTCCTGGGTGACTACTATAGCTACAGGTGTCGTCTCATGTCCTGAGTTCACAATCATCCTGCCCATGTGCAAATTCTTCCATGTTCTTTAAAAGTGCAGTACCTGAGTGACTACGGTACACCCCTCTATGAACTCTGAGCTTCTAATCCAACCTCATTAATGTCTGGGGAAATTTCCCCTTGACACCAACACCCTCCTTTGACTGATGATCTAGTGACATCTTTTTAAATTGACCAATTGACATTCTGCAAAGATGATATCATAATTGATCATAGTTCCAACCCGTTCTCACAAACACAACAAGAAATAAAAAACAAAACAACAATGCCATTCAGTCTAATGCCATTCAGCCTAGATGGACTCTGAGCTGAGGGGCTGAGGTCAAAAAGACTAGGAATCAGTGAGTAAATGACTCACATACAAATAGACAAATGCTTCTCCTACGACCTCATTACTGCACGCCCTGCCAGGCGGGCCATAGTGACTGTGAACTGGTGAAATGAACTCATCTAAAGAGCTGGTTTCCCTAAACACACACATCAGTCTGGACGACTACAGAGGTAATCCACATTCACACTCAGCAAAGAACTGAGCAAACGTGTATTTTATAAGTAGAGACACTCCGAGAGGGTGAAGAGGGCTCCCCTCGCAAAGGGAGAGGGAAGGCGCCATGGGGGGGCGGGGGGAGCATTTCTTGCTTTTCAGGGGATGCTTTTCAAGCAGTTTTCTAGTTTGTTAAATCCATCCATCCTCAGGTGTCCTGCGCATTTTCTTTCAAATTTATCTCGGCTTCAGACTCATAGCAGCCCTATAGGATAGGGCAGAACTGTGCTGTGAGTGTCCAAGACTGTAACTCTTTGTGGGAATAGGAAGACCCAACTTTTTCCAGCACAGCTCTGTGTCCGGGGGTTTCAAATGTATCTCACATTACAGGTCCGTGTCAGGATGCGTCAGAACATTCACCCAGCCTTGTCTGAAGGTTAGAAGGTTTACCAGACTTTCAAAATCTCTTGTTCCCTTAGCAAACGGAAGTCCTTGTTTTGTTCCTGTCACTGATGATTACTAACCAAGGTGGCTGTGAGTTAGGAAGCAGCCTCCTTGAGGGGAGCTGGCATCCCCAGTAAAGCTACCAATGAAGCTCTGACGGCAACAACATAGATTTCTTTGGGGGGTCCATTCAGAACAAGCCAGCCCTTCCCCCATCTGGCAACTGGCAACTCTCAGACAGCTACAAATGGTCACTAAGGACCCCTGTAGTAGAGCCTGTGCTGCCTGCCTACCTGATACGGCTAGGGCATCCAAAATTAACAGGAAAGATCTCCCTGAGAGTTGGTTCTAGTCTAGTTCAAGAACTGCTGATGTGGGTTGCTGTGTGCAAGGAAGTAGACACCTTCAGTGGAGCCTACAGACATTACCAACACACTGCCAGAGCTCTGCTGTCCTAAGGGATTATGAATTGGGCTACCATGTGCCACCTCAGCAATCTGAGCACACCAGCCACTCCCATGAGAAAGAGGAGCATTCTTCTCCTGTAAAAATGTGTGGCCACAGAAATCCAAAGAGGCAATTCAGCTCTGCCCTGTAAGATCGTGATGAATCAGAAATGACACGGTGGAAGTGAATTGTTATTTTGGAGGGGTCTTTGATAAGAAGTTGGACCTCCCTGGGTGTTTGCTAGGAGTGCCAATCCCTCTCTACCCAGGTAACTGCCAATTGCTGAACAGAGACAAATTGCTGGGCTGCAGAAATTTCACTGTAGTGGAGCTAGAAGGTGGGTCACTTAGGCGAAGACTACTGTCCCAACCACTTCAAAGTGTCTGGAGTAACTAAGACATCTCTCAAGGGTCCCTATGGGAAGTATCCGGGCTTCCTCTTCCTAAT